GAGGTTGTGACTGTCAGATCGGCCCAAATTCAATCTGGGCTATTGGGGTCGATATGAGCTCATATGTTCATATGAGCTCATATGTTCATATGAGCTAGTGGGCTAATCTTAGCATTTTCATATATATATATATATATATAAACAAAATAAAGCCTGACTTAAAATCCTCTTCCAGAACGCACTTTTGGCAACGGAAATCTGCATGATGGCTCTAAAATCAATTTTCCAACGAAACTCGAAACAACGAAACTCGGAAAATAGTACTTTAGGGTGAAATGGATGGTCTAGATAATTTGTTACAAAATACACTATTTTTAGAAGTTGAAATCCTAATTTTTTTTCATAGCCATAATGCTCAAGCCGAGATGATTGACGAAAAGTTTTTCCAGTACTTGACTTGCAAATTTCAATGAGTTATGAGGTGAGGCTTTACTTATTTTGATTGGGCTGCAGCCCTATCAAACCATTTTCCATTTGTACTTCTCATTATTGAGGGGCACAAAATGGAAAAAGGGAGTTTTCAAATGTATAAATAATTTTTAATATTAGCATCATAACTAACCAAATACTGTGTCTGAAAAGAGTGTTTCAATCGGGAGTTACACTATTCCACACTGAACAAGGAGTGATTTACCATATCTGGTAGGGGCTAGGATAATCAATTTAAGTTGCCAAAGGTTAGGGGAGTATTATGCTCTACCAACTTAGAGGAACGTTTCCTAGTAAAATGGAAATCAGTTGTTCTCATAGTGTGTTTCTTGCTCAATGTCATCTCATTGGTGGGGCTGTTTATATAATACAGTCTCAGTCATATTCCTTTCGAAAGGTTTTCACTCTTAGGTTCTGATTTCAAATATAAAAAATACATGTGTGTGTGTGTGTGAGAGAGAGAGAGAGAGAGAGAGAGAGAGAGTGCATGTACGTTAGGTTGGTCTTTATTACTAGGTAGGGTATAATTAAGTTAAGGTTAAAGGTAAAAACGTTAACTTTAAAATTTAATTAAAGTTAAACGTA